TTCCCCTCCACCCTTTAAATCTGGTTAGCGCCTAATTCCTCCTTCCAAAGAGGCCTTGAAAGACAAGTAGCTTATTGACCCAAGTTGATGTAGACAAGAGCATCCTTCAAAAGAGCCTCTGTTCTCCACATTCTCCTGGATGATCTCATCCAAAGTGCTATCTTTAAATACTACTCATACCACATGACCCCCAAATCCAGCACAAATAAATGCCCCCCGTGATTCTGAATGCAACCATTCACATCAGACACCATGTATTGAAAACTGAACTCATCTACCTCCTTCAACACCTGCCCTTGTTATAATCAATTTCCCACAGTCTCACAATACATTTTGCCTTGCATTATATACTATTTGTGTACATGTCTTAGTCTCCCCACTATCTTTACTGGACTATAGATTCTGGAGACCAGGGACTGTATCTTACCTTTGTGCCTAATAAAGCCAAGCACTCGATACCCGTATTTGAATAGACGGATATATTAGCTACCCAACAACAATGAAGAGACAACATGACAGTGTCTTTTCATCATTCTTCCTGGAGCGGCCAACAGTGGTCTGGGATCAAAAAGGAACATGGTTGAGAAATGAAGTTCTAGACGCAAGACCGGTCCCAGATCCTACACATGGAGCTAAAGGGCTCCAGTGAGCACCCAATGGTACCATTTCCTTTGTGCACGTTGTAGGCCAGAGTTCTAAGAATATTAGCATCCACTCTTGCTGCTCAAAGCCCCCACACCTTTTCTATGTGTGGATCTGGATTTCTATGTGTGATCTGGATCTAGATTGCATAGTGGCTATGCAATCTTTGAGCAAGCCAGGAAAAACGGGAAAATGAAAGTCCTATTCTCTAAATGAACAATCCTGATGTAAACTTAGTCTGATCTTTAAAACCCTAACGACAAATTTGCACTCTAAAGTGGAAGTTTTTACTTGGATACATTATCTATTTGTATATTAATATGCTGCACTAATTTTCAGATGACTAATCACTTGTTCCAGATTGAAACACTGTGTAATTAGCTATATAACCTTTATTATAAACTGAACAGTTTCTTAGCAACGCAACTTTTGTGGGGTTATATATTTTGAAATTTTAAAAATTAGACATGTAATTGAAAAGCATACTAATCTGTGGTCAAAATAGTGTTGACACTAACACAAACTGCTAAATTTTCTCTCTTCCTGAATGGAATCTCAGACGATCCATCTGAGTGGTCACTGTCACATAAACACAAAAACAGATGATCAAAAGTCAGCCTCAGGTTACAATTTGCAAGTTGCCCTCCGTGAATTTATCCTGTATTGATTCCTTTTCAAGCCAGTGGCCGGGTGGTGGCAGCACCCCGGATTAAAAACCAGTACATCCATCTGAACATAATCCAACAAATAGCGGCTCAGAGGAACTCTTTACAAACTCTTCAGCAAAAGTGGGAAAATTAAAGGACATTTTTTTGGATATTGTTTTTGGACTTTGGAAGGAGGAATCAGAGGGAAAAATACATGTATTTATATATATTTATGATTGTCTTTTTAGAAGTTATAGTTTAGTCTTCTGCAGCTTTACTTTTTATTCACATGGTACCATCTGGGAGTTGTGGAGCCTACCCAGGAGACCAGCAGAAAGCTGAAAATATCACATTCAGGAGGAGCAAGGTAATACTAACACCCTCATTTATTTTTCTCTAAATGCTGCCAAGAACGTTTCTGTGACTCTTTTCAGAGACACTCATAGGAAGTTTAACAGGAATCTTGATTTGTTAGGAAGGATAATTATGCTTTTACCTCAGGAGCCATTAGTGGTGAATGTTGTTTTTAAAGAAATGTGAATTTTTTTAACGTAAGCAAAAAAAAGGCAAAACAAATCCAATTTTGGCTCCACATATGATATTCTTAAATTAAAAGTCACCATTGGGGTGATAAAAATATGAAATAAATGGAAATGCCTAAGGAAAGGAGACACACTGGCAGAGATTACTTTGAGTTCAGAGAGAGGACTCTGAGGTAATTCCAAATAAATTCTTGTGTCATCATTTATTAAGCATTTGGGATTACTCAAACATGTTAGTTACCTCATCTAATATTTCAAATAGAAAAAAACATTTTAATGCTGACGGAAAGGGGAACGGGGGTTGGGGATGAGCAAACCAAAGACAGATGATAAAAATACTATATTTTATTCACTGAATACTCCCAAATACGAGCCTGTACACTAATCTCACAACTTGCCTTGGGTCTTGGCTTGCTTCAGTTGCTGCTGGATTAGCTGTGTGATCATATTTTCCTTTCTGTTGAATTTTTTTTTTTTTTCTGGAAAACAGAGAATGACAGCGTTTCCCTTTGGGCTTTGCACGTGCATAATCAGAACAATCCCAAGCCGTCTACATCTGAAGTAAAGCTGCTGGAGTAATATTTTTATTTTTTACCCAGACTATCACTGATCACTTAATGCACCTGCGAGGCAGGGAACCGTAGTGGTAAAGGCACAACCTCTGTATTAAGACAGACCTAAGTCTGAGGCTCAGCTCTGCCAGGTACCAGCTATTTAACTTTGTGCAAATTGTTTAACCTGTTTTGTTTGCCTTGGCTGAAAATTGTGACAAGTTCCTCACGTAAAATATTTTGTGCAGTGTCCAATTGCATGTTAGTAAGTGCTCTAATAAATACTGGATAGTATTAAAATGGATACTTTTAAATATGACTTTCCTCAAAGGAAAAATATCTCAAAGGAAAAATAAATGGGCACAGAGTAAGCACGGCCATGGGGCTTTTGGAAGGCCCCTTAAATGGCTTCATCATTATCATCAAAAAGTAGCCCAGTCTGAAACTGGATGAGTGTCCACTTTATAGTTCACCCTGCAGAAGGGAGACAGGGTTCAGGGTGTCTCTCTGAGGAAGTCAGAGAGAGCAGTGGACACTGGGGATTGCAAACTAAGTGGGCAGGTGTTGACTATGCCCTCTGGGGAAAGTGTTTATTAGAAAAACACTTGTAGCTACACTGGAATTAAAATTAAAACTTAATTTGGGGTGCCTGGGTGGCTCAGTTGGTTAAGCAACTGCCTTCGGCTCAGGTCATGATCCTGGAGTCCTGGGATCGAGTCCCGCATCAGGCTCCCTGCTCAGCAGGGAATCTGCTTCTCCCTCTGACCCTCCTCCCTCTCATGCTGTCTCTCATTCTCTCTCTCAAATAAATAAAATCTTTAAAAAAAAATTAAAACTTAATTAAAAAAAAAGTGAAAGCAAAAAAACCCGCAAAACACTTGTACAGGTTAGTAAATGTATTGCCAATATTTCTTCCTATTACTTACATGTCCATGGGATCTTCACCACATTACTTCCCAATATCAACTCACAAGTTTCAAGAACACACACATGCAAACCCAATCCTATTCTGTGCATTTTATATTCCCAGCCCTCTTAATTACCTGACAATTACTGTTCATTTCTGTGACGGGGGAAGGAAGTAGAAGGGAATGACAGGAGCCATACAATAAAAAATTGTATTAGATAATTTCTAGGAGGAGTAAGCACAAGGGAGGTTATTGCTACCATATTAAGAGAAAGAGTAATGCTGGAGAGTGATTTAAGGGGACAATGCTTTCAGGAGAAACATTAACTCAGGAAAGCAATCCCCGTAATTTTCTGAAACCTGTTGTTTCTTCTGGTTTCCTATTCAACATAGTGCAGTAGTTTCTATCTTTGAGGGAGATGCTGTGAAAAATTGCCAATGGGAATTTAAATCTGGAAACCAAACAACTTGGGAAAAATTTTTCTTTATTTTGAACTTTACACAGCATCATTTTTATTCCTCCAAAAGATTTGCCAGAACAGCTCTGGTAAGTCAATTAATACCACTGTCAAGGTCACATTAATTCAGGCCACTTATTTTAGAAGAAATAGATTACAGTCTACATGTTGTCAGCACCTACATTTTGCGGGACAGTATGTTGGATATTGACAGCCTGCATGCCCAAAATGCCATGCCTAATGGTTGGTCCTTTTCCCCAATTACAAAAGAAAAACCAGCCATGGAGAAATCCTGACTTAGCACTGACAACTCTTAAAGGATATACATATATTTCCTATGTTGTATCAGTGACTTATTTAAACTCTTGCCATATTTATAAATTATACAGTAGACTGATATTAACAATCCTGTTTTCAGTAGCCAGTAGTCGGCGAATCTTGAAACTAGCCTAAGTCTTCACCATTTGACCCGTTGCCAGTCTTGTGGGTAATGATTACAAATACAAATCTTTTCCTTATCATTTTGTTTCCCCCCAAATTTTCTCATTAGAGGCTGAGTGCATTAATGTAAACTTTCTACAAATCCTGACCTATGGCTCAAACGCTATTTCTCAATCTAAATGGAGCCAGTCAAGTCCTTGTGCACTAATTCCTCTTTCTCCTACCTGGGCAAGCTAATTTCTGCAGGTCAGGTGGATCCATGAATACATTTTGTATACATCAATATACATAAATGTTCCTGCTCATGCCCACTAACACAAAGACAGTTTCTTAAATAACATTAAATGGCTCTAAGGTTGCATCTCCAGTGACCTGCTAGAGCGGACCTTGTATTTTGAGACAGGTTTGGAAGGGGCTCACATGCATTGGTAGCCACACAAGAGAATCTCCAGCATCCAGTGTCAAGGTTTTTCCAGCCTCCTTTCCTGTTTTACTGATGCATGCCTGTCAGCCATTCTCTCATGATCAGTCATGAGCATACCTTCTATTCCTAAACTATATCAAGGTGATTTAATAAACTACCTGTTACAAAGTTGGCAGGGGAGGTGGGGAGCCTGATTTCTCAGTGGGTCTTAGCATTATGTGGCCACGTGAATTTCTATTTTCCTGATCTAGAGATGTATTAGTACAGAACAACAGATTTGTTTTATTCTGGGGCCTACTTCCAATTTACAGTAACAATAATTCATTTTAAGTAGTTTGGCTAAACATAGGACATTAGGATAATAACACTTGCATTCAAGTGCACTCACCCAGTAGCTCCAAAAATAAGAGGTCGGAATTTTTGAAGACTCGGGAACTTGATACAGGAGAACATTTTCTTACGTTCCTGTTCCTTCTTGCTTTAGCCACCAGTTCCTATTAATATTTTAAAAAAAAACTTGTGTATTTGGAAGCTTTTGGGGGGAACAACTCTCAAAAAATTCCTTCATAGTTTTTACACTGCCCATCCCTATCCTCAGTTTCATGGTGTTATCTTGTCAGGGTGAGGATACAGCAGTGGTTTCCACGTGTTGAAAGATCCTTGCTTTATTATGTCAAGCAGTTTGCGTGTGGAGTCATTACTGAAATTCTAACTTACCATGCATCACAAACCAAGACCCAGATACGAAGAAAATGCTACACCTAAGTGTTAAACAGCCATGCAGTGGAAAAAATACCACATTCCCGCCCCGCCAAGTTATCCTATCTTTTCCAATGACCCGCCAAATCCCATCTGAGTTCAACTGTGCATAATGATTAGAGAAGTAAGCTTGACAAAGTCAAGACTGAACTCAAATGCCCAACGTACTTGTTTCTCTCTGCCCTTCTTCTCGGTGGCATGACGCGTGGCTTCATATTTAGAGTTGGGAAAGGAAGAAACATCTATGAAAAATAATACAGCGACTTGCCATCAAACCAGGTTTTCTGTTGTCCTGGAAAACCAAGTGATGCAAGTGGAAAACAAAAGGAGGATGTTGAGAGGGCTCAGTGGCACACGGAGCTCTCCACACCCGGTCTCATGGCATAAACCACATCAGACTGACCCAGACATGGTGGCCGTAAACCTCTGGGCTCTGGTGAGGCAGACCTAAAGCAATTGTCTGGCTCAGAATCAACTCAAACTTTCAGGAACATTTTCAGGCAGCAGGTCCTTACAAACATGTTCTATAGCATCCAAGCATTCAACCAGGGACAAAACAAGGTTACTTAAGTTTTAGCAGAATATGCAATTAAAAAAAGATGGCTTTTCTACATTTATAGCCTTGCTTTTAATTTTTTTTAGAATTTAAAAAAAATTTTTAGAAGATTTTATCTTAGGAAGAGAGAGCCAGAGAGAGAGAGGGGACGCATGAGTGGGAGGAGCTGAGGGAAAGAGAGAGAGAGAGAGAATCTCAGACTCCATGCTGAGAGCCCGAGGCAGGACTCGATCCCAAGACCCTGAGATCATGACCTGAGGCAAAATCAAGAGTCCGATGCTTAACCAGAGCCACCCAGGCACCCCTATATCCTTGCTTAATAAGCAAACATAAACCAAATACCCAATTTCATTAGCTTCTTAACTAGTTATCACCCTTCAAAATGGAGACTTTAACACACTTAATTTTACTTGCTAAATGTTTTCCCAATCCCAATCTTTAAACAAAAATCTGCTTGCAAAGAAATTCTCCTTCCTATTCTCTGCCTCCTTAGACTCCCACCCTAACTAAAAAAATAAATAAAAGTTGTTTCTTTTTAGGCTCAGGAGCTGATTTAAGGAACTAGTTAGAGTTCTCTTAACAGATCTCTACAGAATTGAGACATTATGAACAGCTTTATGTCTTCCTATAGTTAACTGGACATGACGATGCCTTTTCCTTTCACTTAATTTGTTTCTTTCAACACCAACACTAGAATACAAGCTTTATTTTCCTGCGTTTTTTCCAGTAAGGGTGAAATACATGCTACTAAATTAGAATCTCCCCTCTCTCACTAATAAGAAAACCAGGAAGCTGGATTTAAAGCGTTTGGTTTGTCCTTGTCCTCTTGGAAGAACTCCCGGTCTTTAAATTGACAGTGCAGCTGTTGACTGAAAATTATACAGAAAGATTAATACATTCTCAAACTGATTTTCTGTCAGGAAAGTTGAGTGTTAAGGGTTTACAAAATACTTACGTCTAAATAAAGGCAATGCTCTTTACATCCATAGGAAACAAAAATAATTTCGATGTAGAATATAAAGCTCAATTTTATTAACCCAGCACTAAATGACAAGAGTGTCCTGTGATGACCGAATGCTTGGACAATGTAGGGTGTCCGCCATCACTGAGCCAAAATACGATCACATGCTTCAGAGTCAGAGGCCGGTTCCTCAAAACAAGCCAGCTTTCCTCGGCAGAGACAAGAACAGGATGCCAGTGGCTTCTATCAACACCCAGATGACAAGTACGAAAGAGTGAAATTCATAGCCATAAATCTTTCAGAAGCAAAGTAAATCTCCAACTTATTAGTAATTTAAGAAAAATACAGAAAACAAGGATAAAACAGTATTATGGTGCACAGAAAAAAGCAACTGAGCTAGTAGTCAAGGCTGAATTCTAGTATTAGCTCCTTCTAACAGAACTCAGGCGAGCCCCTCTACCAGTCTGATGAGAGTTGGCCTGATGGAACTTGATGGTCTGCAGCTGTCTTTCAGCTGTGAAGTAAGTATTTTAAATGTAAGGAGGGAGGGGATCTACCTTACTGCAATTATATTTTAATGTCCATCACCTATTCAGTCTTAATAAATGTTTAAATATGGCGATATTGATGCTTAAAAATTCTTAGACTTGGGCTTGGATGAAAATCCTCACACATCTAGCCATAACCAAGATAAAACTGAATTCAGGTCAAGACATGCAACCAGTCCAAGACAGAGAGTGATGTCAATATGACACCTGGAAATTCCAGTTCCATAACATAATTTGATACTGTTAAAATGGAACTTCCTCTTGAATAGAAAATTTAAAGAAAATCCTTACTAAAGTAAGTATAAAAAATGTTCGTGGTTGTTAAAAAATTAAGGGACTTCAAATTTACTAGAAACGCCCCAATACATAAATACCTAACCTAAAAACCACCTATAAGCTTCTTAACTGTTAAATTTTACTCAAAAAAATTGTGTGCTATTCATATATTAATTTGTCAATCTTGATGGTGGTACAGACCAGTTTAGATTTACACTGGACTTGTGTGAAATTAAATACTGCACCAATAGTTAGGATGACCACTGATACAGACTTAAAAAAAAAAAAAGGTATGGCTTATTTATGTAGACATGTTTTGTTATAAAGCCAAAATTTTCAATGGGCTCCCTTCATGCAAAGGAGGATACATGTATCACATGTTGACATAAAGGCAGTCTTAGCATTAACTGCAAAGTATGCTCCCCATCATATTCATAACACCCAATTTATTACACCTTTTTCCAGGGGCTTCACTAAAAAGCAAAGGTTAAAAAAAAAATCCATCAATGAAAGACTAAGAGATTATAAGAGAATACTGTATTTTGGAGATAAAATCTAACAATGTCAATAAAATGTGTGCAAAGTGAAATTTCTCTTTTCCATAAAGAATTTTCTATTGTATATAAATAGACCTTATTTCTATATTTGTCCTTTAAGAACTCCATTTCTAAAAGACAGTAAGTTATTTCAGGAATTTCTCCTTTGATTAGATAAATATAATATGACAAGAGCAATTCTGAGGCATTTGTCTCTCAAAAAAAATTTTTTTTTAAAAGTTTGGTTAATACATTCGTAAGTGTTCACATCTGCACAACAGAAACGAATTTTTAATAGAACATATTATTGAAATGTTTAAATTTGGCTAAAGTTCTTAGAAGGCATTTTGTAGCATCCTACACACTAGATTCCATAACTCAGTTTAATCTTCAGACACCCACTTGTGCCAAAGTCAGCAGCACAGAAAATTCTATTTATCAAAACTGAGGTTCCTGTTTAATGTACCATCTTTGATACCATTGATTAAGAACTATTTAAGTCCCACATGAACTGCTGTATTTGGCTTTTACTGAAATGACCAGTAAACTGCAGTATCATTCTGATTTTAGGGAACTGCAACATTTTCAGTATGCCAAACAGCTCCAGGTTGACCTTGCAATGTGAATGCTCTGTATACCACAGCAGTGGCTTCCAGGGAGCTGAGCAGCTGTCCCATTTCCCAGCAGAACAGGGTGTAACATTCTTTTTGCTCACCGTGTTTATTTAATGGCACACTCCCTCAGGGCATGCAGTCTGCTGAAAACTTCAACCATCATCATTCACTGCTGTGTACCCTTTACTATAATCTACAGTTAAAAAAAAATGTTTTTATCCATTTTAATCTCTTCACAATAAAGAAAAACACAGCATTTTAGCCTATTTGGGTCAAATTAATTTTATTATGCTCCATGATGAATTGCCACCAGTGCAACATCCTATCACTATACATTTCAAAAAAATTCACATACTAAACAAAATTTCAGTTGATAAATGGAAACGAATGATTGAAAAGTCTTTATGAATCTCACGCATACAATATGTGGCTAGCTGAAATTGTCTATCACGTAGCATATAAAAAGCCTCATGCTAAGTTTGTTAAATGCGAAGGCTATCAGACAATCATTTAGCTGCAGAATATATGGGAGGCTTTCAGACAACGCACAGGTACAGTGCTGCCCACAGTGCAAGGTGGTGGAGGACCGAAACATGCAACCTTTACATCTACAGTGGACTTAGTCTTCATGCCTGGACTGAACTCCACAGCTGCTGTGTTTCAACCAACAGTAATTTAGACTTTGTGCAACAACAATAACAGAAAGCCTTTTTTTCCTCAAGAAGAATAAACTCAATTACCTTTGGCAAATTTTATACTCATATTACATGTTTAAAATTGTTTCCAACTCAAAGAATTGATATCCTTTTATTCAGAGCAGCTCCTGATAAATACCATACCGAAGTTAGCTGGAAAACCCTGAATTCCTTGGCCAAAAGTTAAGAGAGATCTTAAACTGGCATTACCTTAAAGACATTTCTAGGATATTTAAAATGTTTTTTATAATGTCAAATGAAAAAAAAAGGAGGATGCTTAATATTACTTAAAATAATTATAATGTTCTATTTACCATTTGCACAAATTCCTAACTCTATTGGTTAGTAGTTGTCCAGCCTCATCCACACCAGACTCAGTGTCACTGAGCTCAAGCCACGATAAAAATGAGAGTAAGCAGAAAAAGGTTTCTAGCAGCAGAGGGCACTGTTTTTGCAAGAAACAAAAAGTCTAGAATCTTTCCCATGTGTTTAAATTACTCTTGCAAGAAAGGTAACATTCTTTGAATAACTTAACTATCTTACCGCACCACTTACTGCTTTCAGCAACAAAACCTTTTAAATTATTTATGATAACTAGATGCATGATCATTAGAGATTATGTGATAACTGGTTAAAATTCAAGCCATATCTTGCAGGTCCAGCCTGTCAAGATCATGCCAAATACTAGATTTTGGTCGGTACAATTCTAGAGAGCTTAATTTTTAGTTGGATATTGTGATTATAGTACTGAAATACATTTGGAACTACATTCTGCATATGACTCAATGTGAGAAAAATACGTGTCTGTATTTAAATCAGATCGTTTTCCTACCTAAAATTTAAAGTAGGTAGGTATGATAATTAGCACTATAAATATGAAAACAACCACCTTTAGGCAGATTAGTGTATTGCAGAGAGGCAAGGAAACCCTAATTTTAACACATCATTTAGTATACATAACAAATGTGCAGGTTGTAAAGTTTTATTTAAAAAAAAGAATCTATCATTCAGTCATGTGTTTCAAGAAATACGACACTGGGACCACCAATCTTTTAAGAAAAATGTAACCCTTCACCTGACATTTGACAAAAACCTTGAGAAATTATAAAAAAAAAATTTAAATAGCGTAATAGGTTCAGCATTACAGCGTTTACCTTTGCCAGCTAGATTCGATTTGTATGGCTGGTATTTCTGAATACCTCAATCCATACAGACTACACAATAAAAATAATTCCACATCATTTTTATAATGTTCTGATTTTTATAGTGTATTTAACTAGATACTGAAGTAACCATAATGTATAGCCTCCTTCAGTTCATGTAGAATATTAGCCCTAGAATCCCCCAAACTGCAAAAACTTAAACTACTGTTTAAGAGTAATACCAAAAATATTTTTAAATTTTTGCTAAAAAGAGCCTGACACATTTGCTATAGCATAAAAATAATCTCAGTCAAGTACAGGTATGCAAGGTCTCCTTATGATTCCAGCCTCCAAATACCACTTCTGTACAAGAACAGGCAATACTGTTACAAGAGGTGTGTTACTGATTTTCCCAACTAGCGTCTCTGTAGTGACATTATGCAGAGCATACTGCTACAACTTGAGAAACCGCATCAGTGTAGTGATGTCTAGAGAACTGTGCAATGTGTCAGCTTCAACATTCATGTAGCATGGTGTTCAAAATGAAGGGGCTAAATAAACTAAGGTCTGTATCACTTAAAAAAGAATGTAGTGCTATACTAGATTTTAATAAGAAAATTTAGGTACAGAAAAAGTAGGGTATGAAAATAGTGTTTTTCCTTCTGGCATTATAACTAAATTACATTAAGGTTTTTGTCAGTCTCACATATAATATTTAAACTCCCTTGTTGATGGAATGAAAAATATTCACAAATTAAGTGAGCATCCTGGTGTAAACTTGCACACAATAACAGGGAGTAGCTTTGTAGAGGATTTTGACAAACCTTTACAGATTAAATGAGGTATTGCACAGATTAATTAAAAAAAAGCAAAAAAGGCAACAAAAATATACAGCAAATTGGTAGAACATTTACATGATAATTTTACAGAATCCATAGACAGAAAGTAGTGTTTAGTATTTCACCTTAAAAATATATATATATAATATATAGATCAGTCTTCCCATTCATCATCATCCTCAAAATCTTCTTCGTCATCTTCATCCTCATCTTCATCTGGAAAAAAATCACCAAGGCAAACAATCAAAACATACGTATAAATAAAATAACATTACATGATTCTTGGATGATTCCTCCAATTATTTAACTTCTGAAACAAAACCATTCGATTCTGGAGGAATCTGGTTACTAGGACAATTTAAAATGAATCAAATAAAATACATCTAAAGAGTAGGATGGTCAGTTGAAGATTAGAACAGGAGTCAGAAGACTTGGGTTCTCGTTCCGTAGTATCTATGTAGTGAATTTCAACCAGTGTTTCTTTATATGAAAACCCACATTTGCGTTGGCCTCTCTGAATTTTCACACATCTCAAATCCAAAAGTGGCCCCTTTAATGACTATTTTTAAAGAAAAGTTGTAAAAAATACACCTGACAGATTGTTCAGCTACCAATTCCAGTTATAATTCCAGTGATAGGCAGGAAACTCATTGATACTGAGGACACTGAGCCACTAAGGAACAGAGCAGGCAGTCCAAATACCCAGCCTCCCCTTCCTACCCTCCTATTCTCTCCTGAACCCAATGACATTGCTCTTTCCAGGTCCCCAATAACCTACTGTTGCTAAAGCTAAAGCTCAATTTCCTGTTCTCGCTTTCTTGTCTGACCACATACATTTGACCCAGATCGTCACTCCATCCTCCTTCAAACACTTCATGTGGCTTCTAAGACACTCACTCTCCAGCCTTCAGACCTTATTACACCTTCTCTTCTCTATTCACATCCACTTCTTTAATGATCCCATCCCATTCTGTAACTTTAAATACCACGCCTATTTTAATGACATGCAAATTTATTTTAACAGTCCAGACCTCGCCCCTCAACTCCAGGCTCATAACCAAATGCCTGCATAACATCTACGTTTGAATTTTTAGTAAGTATCTCAAATTTAATATTTACAAAAACCAATCTCCTGATCTTTCCTCTCAAACCTGCTCCTCCTTAAATCTTACCCCACTCTGTTAATGAAAATTTCACCCCTTTCATGCTCAAGTCAAAAATCTTGGGAGTCATCCTTCACTCCTTTCTTTTTTACAAACCTCACTTCCAACCCATCAGCAAACTCAAGGATCTCCACAGTCAAAATATACCGAGTATCCAACCCCAGCTCACTGGTGCTACCAATCTGATTCAAACTTTTGCTATCTCTTGCTTGGATCATTGCCATTCCTCAGCTAAGGACCTTCCAGTGGCTTCCCATCACATTCATGGCCTCCAAAGCCTTACTACTGGCCTCCTACCATCTCTCTTACTTCATTACCTTCCTATTCTTTCCTCAGCCACACCGGCCTCATTGATGTTCCTCAACCTCAGGGACTTTGCATTTGCTGTTCTTTCCATCTGAATGAACACATTTTCCCCAGTTTTCTGTATGGCTTACTCCCTAAACTCCTGGTCTTTTTTCAAATGTCACCTCAGTTAGGCCTCATCCTATTTCAAAATGAACTTCCCTCCCACATCCTTTAAGTCCTTATATCTCCCTTTCTCCTTAATTTTTGTCCTTAGTACATATGACCATTTAACATATATTTTCCTAACTTTGTTTACTGTTTGTCTCTCACTGGAATGCATCCATTCATGCTCCATGAAGGCAGGGATTTTTTTTTTTTTATTATTATTATTCCATGATAAGTATTTGCAGAATGAAATAGCCTATTCTCTCTTTATCACACAGTACGAGAATAAATATGTCTATTTAAGGAAAACAAATATTGGTAATAGATCCTAGATATCCACATTCTTACAGAGAAACAAAGAGAAGAAAAATGACATTTATTGAGCACTTACTATGTGCTAAGTAATCTGCTGGTTAGTTACGTATTATTTTATTTATTCTTCATATCAATCATGATTCATGAATTCTCTCCACATAACAAGTAAGAAAATTGAGCTCGATAGAGAGTAAATAATAGATTTAATAAGAACAGAGAACTGATTCTGGTACATCATGCTGGGGAAGCTCTTTAGTAAACCTCAAGCGTTATATCAAGACCCATTGCTTTCTCTTTTGAAAGTAATATCCACTTATATGGTGGTGTACATACGCTTAATAATGGCCTCAGAATAGGGACAAGTTTATTCAAATAAACCTTTTAGGAAATCACAAGAGGACACAAAAAACTTCAAAATTCTTTAGCAAATCCCAGAAAACCCAATTTCTCAGCCCTGATTCTCACAAATCAGGGAAATCTGAATTTCTCATGTCACAAGAATGTCACAGGAATGAGATCCAGAATCTCAAGCCTAATTTAGAGAGTTGCCAGGCATTCTATTAGTATTTCCAGTATAGGAAATGAAATTGCTATTTTTCTGAAGTCGTTCTTCCAGTTTATGGTTATGGCTATGGTGTCCTGGAATCCATTAAGCTTCAGACAGACTAGTCACAGTGGCAGTAACTTTTAAAAATTTGTCCTAAAATCCACATCAGTGTTACTCAACAGCAGGGGAAAAGCTAGCAAAGACTATCATAAAATCAAAAGAAAATAGAACTTCAAATATTAAAATTAAATACACATATGTACATGTAAATATACCTGAAGAATGAATGGCTTTGCTCCTTTTCTGCATCACTTCCATTAATGCACCCACAATTCCTGAAGTGGGTGCAGGTGTTGGTGGTGTAGACTCTTGGCCATCAGATACCTTGGAAAAGAAAGTTAGCAGAATTTAGAAATAAATTCTTAGCAAAAAATTTTTGTCTCCAGAAAGTCTTACGTTTTTAGAATCACTTCCTATTTAAAAAAAGGAAAGGGATAAAAAAGAGCACACAAACCCAGGACAGGATTAACCAAGTTAGGAAGAAATAAACTGCTGCCTTAAAATAATTATTCATATACTCCTTAATGTATAAAGCCAACAACACATTTGTTATTAGAATAACAAACCCTTCCCTAAATAATACTTGTCCTTGCAGATGGATTACTTCTGTTCATTTTCATTCTAGAACACAAAGCCTTAGCTGATGAAACTTTAAAACTATTATCAAGGAACATCATTTTAACAAAACTAAGGTAATGTCCAGATCCCTGGAGTTGTTAGGTGAGGACACTTAAGATATCTAAGAGCAAATGAAGAGACTTCTGCTCTCCTAGAAAAACTCAGCTTTACTAACAAGCTTATCACCTTATATACTATATTTATACCTATATGTAATTTTAACTCAAAATGAATTTTCTTTCTCATAGCATTATGAGGAGTTAATCTCTTTAAGGAGATCAGTTAGGTAGCTTTCAAAATATACCTACCTCACAAGGCAACCAACTATCCCTAACTAAAGTACTTCTATCTAGTATAAACTACATTCAAGGGGGGGGAAAAAAAAATCAACCTCAAGGGGTCTCATTAAAATCTAATTTCTATACAAAATACTCCCTGATTCCAACTCTCATTAAAAAAGAGAGAATACAGGAAATCTGTTGAGATTCAGGGAAAAAAAATTTAGAAAGTACTCCTCTAAGTGTACTTTGACTAAAATGAACAGTCATTTATACAAAATATTCATTTTGTTAATTTCGTCTCTGGAATTATATTACCTTTGTAAAGGTAGAATACTGGTATAATTAAAAATGAAATCACACAGCTGTTTCATTTCAATTCTAAGTCATTCTCCACCCCTACCACCACCACCCCCCGCCCCCGCCAAATTACTTTGTTATGGCAAACTTCTTATTTTGGTCTTCACAACTCTTCTCCTAATACTACTTGTCTTTCTGGATTTACAGATCTTTTTCTTTTAAAAACAGTCAAAGTAATTCCCCATAAAATACTGACTCATTCATTAGGATTTAGGTTTTTAGAGACCAGATGTTAACTATTACTGGTATAGAAATGCCACAAATGAAAGAGACAACAGAAATAGTTTCAGAGCTCTGAATGTCAGCATGAGGCTCTCAAAGAAGTATAGCAGCAATAAGGAGAAACAGACTCCCCTTAAGCAAGCTGGTAATACGAGGCAGGGAGCACTGCAGGAGCACGACACTGCCATAAACATGTTTTCTAAAGCACTGACTTAGACATGGTGCTGTCCGAGGTACTATGAACACAGAATTCAAAATATATGTAAGTGAATACTTACACCTTTCCTGCCAGCTCTTTATAGTAAATCTGTGATCTTATGTTAGTAATTTTCATCACTGAACAAATGATTTATATAGACTGTTAAAGAAACAGAGAAATTTCAACCACAGAATGGTTTCTTAAAAAGGAAATAAAATTATGGACTCAGATCACATATATAGCATGCTAATAATTCACTGATTCATGCCCTCTAGGATATTACTTTGCAGTTAATTAAAAAAAAAGGTGATTATTTAGGGTAAGGATGGCTTACATTTAGAATGGAACACACATTTCTTTTTCTAAAAGAAATGCAGAGATCAATTTACAGGGTTTTTTGGACAGGGAGAGAGTTGGGATGGGAAGAAATGATGATGGGGAAAATAAAGACGGAATTTAATTCAGCAACTTTTTAAATTAAAAAAAGAGGACACAACTTAATTCATTAAATATAACACCTTATTAGTATCAGCAAATGAGAGAAAAAAACAAAGTTGACTGTGGAAGAGAGAGGAAAGAGAAACAAAAGGTAAGTTAAGAGTGGCAGATGTGGGGATGAGTGACACATTAAGTGGCACAGATTCTAAGCTGCAAGCTTGAAAATGACTCCATTAAAACCTGTTATTCACCGTGGCTGTGGTCATTTTGACACTAATTCTTCCCACTAACAACTGTTCAAAACTCTTCAACTGTTCCTGAGAAACCTTTAGTCTAAACTAAAGGGGGAGAGGGAGCAGAGCCAACTGCTCACAGCTTAATCATATGGTAAGAAAAAGCTCTAGATACATTTTAAAGATCAGAGTTTTTTAAATCTGTGCTATGCCAATGTTTAAATGTTTTCATTCAATCAGCTGTGTTCCCTATCCACCATTCTCTTCCTAGCTAAAGTTTTGGTGATTGAGAAAGTTACCATAATTCCCTAGGTCACAAAATAATTTTCAATCAAAATCCCCTTCTTTCATCTTTATTTACTGCAAAGAAAAATCTACCGTCCGTTACCTGTCTGAAGCCCCGCAGAGCAAATGTTCCTGTTGGAACTGACAGACTACATGTACTCTCAGAAGGAAGTATGTCAACGCTGAGAGTTTAGGTTCTAGAAAAGCGGCCAGCAAACTATTGCTCATGGGCTAAATCTAGTGTGTCCTATTTTTGTAGAACTTTTTAAAGTGAAAAATGAGTTTTACTTTTAAATGGCTGGAAGAAAATCAAAAGAATAATATTTGTGACACGTGAGAATTATATGAAATTCAAATTTCAGTGTCCCTAAATAAAGCTTTATAGAACACAACCATGCCCATCCAATCACGCATCGCCAATGCTGCTGCTTTTGTGGTACAACACCAGAACTGAGTGGTTGTGACAGAGACCACATAGCCTGCAAGCCTAAGATATTTACTATGTGGTCCTTTAAAAAAAACCAGTTTGCCCACTTCTGCCTCATCCAGTACAGAGATTTCTTTCCTTTTTCTGCAGAGTCGGGTTTTCTACTAATCTAACTTTCAGAACACAGGAACTTTAGAATACAGTTTAGTTTTCATAAAGGTAATGGTCTGAACTTACCAAGGTGATTACAATTGGTCTATAAGTAGAGTTTACTTCTCTATAGTTTGAAGATTTTTCTTTAAATTTAAAGCAAATTTTATTCAGAAGTGAAGTCTAGAACAACAGCAAACATGTTGGAATATTCCACTTACCTGAGGTTCTAGAACAGGCAAAACTATCTACGGAGACAGAAATCAGACTGGTGATCTTTTTGAAAGGGGGACTAACTGGAAAGAGGCATGAGGGAACTTTCTGGGGTGATATTTCGATTACAGAAGTATGGGTTACACTGGTAATAGGTATAAATGTGTGTGTTTTACCATATGTAAAAATATCAGAAATTCAAAGGGTTAAAAATATGAATACCAAGAGAAAGAGCAAAAAGTGAAATAAAGACTTTCCAAGTTGTCTTATAAATTACTTTAAAAATTCCATTAGGACAGATAGTCTAAACTGAAAAGAACAGATTACTTACAGATTTCAGCTGAATACCCTGTCGTATCTGGTCTAAAAGTGCATCCCTTCCAGAACAGGATACCGGTCGACTGTTTTGTTCCACTTTTTTTAGCTGAGCACCCTCTCTAATTTGATCTAAAAGAGCTGCTTTGTTTCCTGCAGGAGTTGGAACTTGATGGTCACCATCAGAAGGGAGGCCAGGGGGAGGTGGCGGCCCCGGTGGGGGGGGTGGGGGTGGGGGCGGGGGCGGTGCTGCTGACCCCGCCAACGACAGAGGCGGAGGTGGTGGCGGAGGCCCTGCTGGTGCTGAGGAGGGCAGGGCTGGAGGTGGAGGAGGGTACATCCTATTTGGCGGCGGTGGAGGGACTCCTACACCTGGCCTGGACGGAGGCGGTGGTGGAGGTGCAGCTGTGGGAGCTCTAGACGGTGGTGGAGGAGGAGCGCCTCTCCCCCGGGCAGGAGGTGGGGGAGGGCCTGAGCTGTGCGGAGGGGGCGGAGGGGGAGGCGGCCCTCCCCTAGATGGTGGTGGAGGAGGTGGTGCTGAAATAAAAACAGAAAAAAAGAAAGCATACTTTTTCCCCCCACAAACATCATACTGGAAAAAAAAACTTACTTCAACATATATAAAAAAAACTATACGAGGAAAAACAAAGGCCTCATCTTTGTATCTTATTTTACAAAGATATGTGAGCACAGAAGATATCATTCTATTTGGGAATACTCAACTGAAGATCACCTTCTTGTCGTTTCTTGAAAAATATTAGCTAAAACTGTAGAATTTAGTTTTTAGGAATCAGCATCACTTCTGAAGGTAAGGGAATAAGCACTTTCTTAAATAATAACAAAAATATCACAACAAAACTAAACACTGGTCAATTAGCATTATTTAACATTTTCATAAAAATTAATGGATACCTTCCCTCTTTAAAGAACTGAGTTTTAGTTACTTTATAAAATTAACTTACATTCAGAATTAAATAGCTGATGTAGCATAACCTACCAGAGTTTATTCAAGTTAATCTGAGCTAAACCCAAATTGAATACTTTTTCTTTTAAAATTTAAACCTTTGCCACCTTATGTTTATATTTTATGTCTTCTATTTTCTATACAAGATGGTCAGTAATTCTAGTGATGGCAGTTAGGGAGGCTTACTCAGGTGAAATATTCAACTACTTATTCAGAAGACACAACTAGCTATTAATAAATTAACTGAGAATTTCTACACACTGAAAAACCAAACTAAAGTTATTAATAAAATATTAAGACTATTCTGGTATTAATGATATTCACATTCTTTTTCTACTTAAGTAAAAATGTAAGATATAACAAGGAAAAAATTCAAGGTACACATTTATTATATTTCTGGAGGCATGATTTTACCAACAGTATACACAAATTTACATAATAATGAACTTCATTACTTCTCCATTCATTTAAAGACTGGAGAGAAAAATTAACTACTTTTAGGAGTAGAGAAATCCTAGAATTCATAAAAACCATTTGTATTTACTGATATAAACTATATTATTGATGGATAGTTCTACAGTCTTACAAAATACAAATGCCAACCCTAACTACAAATAACAAGTACCTTTAGATGTTCAATAACACAATGATACCAGAGAGGGGGAAAAAGCCCTCATTTCAAAGGAAATAGAAGGTATCTTCTAATTTAACTTGGGGCAATCATGGGAAATATGCTACCAAATATAAACATTAGATAAAATATGCAGAAAGACCAATACTCACAGGGTATTATCTCCTTGCATACAAACTTTTAAAAGTAGAAATAATATATATCTGCAAACAGGAGAGTTACCCCACTTAGATGTCAGCCATCACAGAGGAAAGTTCCTATGATTTACATTCAAGGCACACTGGAGGTCTGAGTGTTGCAGCTAAGGTCCACCCAATTCTCTCACTGGATCCAAAGTGAGGAGACTTATTAAACTTGCTAAAAGCAAAGTCCTTTTCTAGCATATTTTGTAATAAAAGAGCAAAACCAGGAGGATATGACATAAATGTATTACATATACTCTGAATAGGGACAGTACATCAAATCCTTCCAGCAATGTTTTTTTTTAAAGATTTTTATTGGGGCTCCTGGGCAGCTCAGTCGTTAAGCGTCTGCCTTTGGCTCAGGTCATGATCCCGGGGTCCTGGGATGGAGCCCCGCATCGGGCTCCCTGCTCGGCGGGAAGCCTTCTTCTCCCTCTCCCACTCCCCCTACCTGTGTTCCTGCTCTTGCTGCCTCTCTGTCAAATAAATAAATTTAAAAATCTTAAAAAAGAAAAAGATTTTTATTTATTTGACAGAGAGAGACACAGTGAGAGAGGGAACACAAGCAGGGGGAGTGGCAGAGGGAGAAGCAGGCTTCCCGCCGAGCAGGGAGCCCAATGTGAGGTTCGATCCCAGAACCCCGGGATCATGACCTGAGCCGAAGGCAGACGCTTAACGACTGAGCCACCCAGGCGCCCCTCCTTCCAGCAATTTTAATCAGTCTAAGGTTTATATTTCAAATAGTTATGATTTACTCGTTTTTTAATTAAAAGGAAAATAACCACCGTATCCTACTATAAAAAGTATTAGTAAATCATTTCTCATGGTCTCATTGAGGACTCTGAATCCACAATCTTTTATACTAAAATGATCTATTTCTTCAGTAGAGAGAATAAAAGTTCTTTCGAACTTGTAGTAAGTACTTTATTGGAATAACTTGCACTCTAGCTATTATTCATTGGAATGGACATTAAATCACTGCCTAGGGGAAAGGAAGCCTTAACTGACTGTGTGTAAATTATTAACTGCATCCAGTTTGGGTACAGCACAAGTTCAGCATTTCTATGACCTTGAAAAGTGACTGGAAACATCTCTATATTTTTATGATGAAAATCTATTACCAACTTTCTCTTTTTTTATAGTCCGTATTATTTCTACATAAAAATAAGTATGCAAAAAACATGCCTTATCCCAACGTAAAAATGTGAAAGAATTAAAAAAGGAGAGGAAAGGGCACAATGGGAGTTAGATGTTTCCATGCACAAATATGCCTGCTAAGCAGATACCACACAGACCAAGAGAAAATCTGATGGCCTAGAGACTTGCAAAACTCTATGAGTCACCATAAACACCAGAATCACAATGACAATACTTCTTAGATTTCTAAAAAAGAAATAAAGTGAAAAATATGAAACAAATTACAACCAATAAAACTTCTTACTATCAAAATTTAGTTAAAAAGGAAGAAAGACTGGCATCTATGGAAAAAAACCTTGTCTTGAGGTTATACTACAAAAAAGCTCATATACTTAAAAATTATTATTATTGCAGATCAACATTAAGAGTAATAGGTAACTCTCTAGATATTTGACATTTACAGGTATTATACACAGAAATTATAAAGCAATATAAATATAACTAATATTTAAAAGAAATATAGTATTATAGAATTCAGGAAACATTAAAGAACTGCTCTCATGTACTCTCATCAAAGTAAAGCAAACAGAAAAATGCTACTCAACACAAATTTAAATTTATGGGATTACTGACAACTCCCTGAGTAGAACTAACTGTATGTATTTATATTAAGTACCCCCTCCCTGGCCCAAATTAATGTAAAAATCTAAGTATATCTTATACAGGTTACTGAAATAACGCCAAATGTGAAAAGCAATCACTAGGAATAAGTATAATAAGCAACAATAACAACAATGGTGCTGTGGGTAAGAGGTGTTTTTAAAATATCCACATAATTTCATTATAATTATCTAAAGTCAGATGAAATATGAGCTCAGACTCATACAGAAATAAATTAGTTTGAGTAGAGGACAAATAATCTCACTGGATGCTTGGAAGCAGGATAAATGAACTCTAGCTTCTTTGAAAGTAAACGTATCAAAGCATACATAATTTAGAGCACTGGGTCAAATAACATCCCACATACATACCACTCCACTGTGGTGGACCTACACAGATTATTCAGTTAATGGCCTTCATTTTTTTTTTTTTTTAAGATTTTATTTATTTATTTTGGCGAGAGAGAGGGAGGGGGGAAGAGAGAGAGAGAGAGAGCGAGAGAATGGGCACGAGCAGGGGGTGGGCAGACTCTCCACTGAGCAGGGGGAGCCCTATGTAGGACTCAATCCCAGGACCCTGGGATCATGACCTGAGCCGAAGGCAGACGCTTAACCACTGAGCCACCCAGGCACCCGAGTTAATGGCCTTCAAACAACTGCACAGACACACAAAAAATATGTTGGAAATCACAAGTCTACTACTTTTAAAAACCTGATTACATAATTTTACAAAACAAGTTTCAAGAGATTTGATCAGCAGATTTTACTATATATATTTTTTTTTTCACAAAATATATTTTTAAGGCAACTTCATAAACTTCTCTAATTTTTTTTATACTTTTGAACACATATGTTCTGCCTGGAAAACATTTCCTTAATAAATCATTAGTCTTTTTACTCTTCCATTGAAAAAATTTACCTTCTATAAAGTAATTCTTTGGTGTCTAAAAGATTCCACATTGGGAGTTAGGTTCTTGAGTATGACAAGAATTTAACTTTGTTCCCAAAGCATGTTTTTTTAATGCCTGTATATTTTTTTTTTTAGGTAATTCAACTGAGGACTTTGCCTAATTTGATGCTTTAAAAGCAGCTAAAATAAAAAGCAATCACAATAAAGTTTAAAAAACAAACCCAATCAAGTTAATATAGTCAACTCTTAGTCACCGGAATTTAGGTGTAAGGGCAGATGTATGGATGGTCTAGTAAATGTCAAGAGTAGATTTATAAACTTATAAATTCAGAGAGCTCAGAGAGATGTCAGGCGACATCTGGTAGAGTAACGCCAAAGTGTGTGGTAAGAGTGGACAAAAAGAGAGTCAAGGAACACATTAAGAGTAAATGTGACTCACTCTGGGAGCATTTAAAAACAATGGTGCTATGCCCAAGGTGTTATTAAAAACCCATTCTGGAAATGTAATTTTTTCAAAAAATAAGATAAATTAGCATCACACTAGTTTCATTAAAACTAACACTGTGTTTGTACAATAGCAGTTATTGACTATATACTTGTTTAAGTATCTGTTTCCACACTAGACTGTAAGATTTCTGAGGACAGAAACTGTTTATATCTAAATATCCTGAGTGAAGACAAGTGCTGACATAATAATGTTTACTGAATATATGAATGAATGAAAAGCCGAACGAACATCAGTAGTGAAAAAGATACAGGTAAGTCAAACCCCTAATTTAAAATGACAGTTAAATTCCTCAGAAGAATGCTTTAACTAGAGCTTTTGTTCCAGTACACAAAAACTAGGAAGAAAAGCAAGCCCAAATGAATAAGGTGGCAAAGAAGAGTTTTTAATAAGAAAAACCTTATCAAAATTTAAGTTATATCAAAATAATGCAAAGCAACCAGGCCAAGCTACTTATCTATAAATTCAAATATTCTGCTTAAGGAAAGTTCACATGAACGTGTGTAGCTGTCTTCCATGAAACTGACCTCAAAAGATTCACAAGGAAAAAAAGATTTGAATGCCTGAATAGAAAAAAAAAAAAAGTTACCTTGCCTTCGTAGTTCATTTTTAACAGCTTCTACACCTCCTGTTTTTTCAATGAAGTCATATATAACTTTTGATGTTTCTCGGTCTTTAAGTTGTGCCTCTGAGATTCCACACATATCAAAAAGATTCTTCAATTCTGGATCCAAATTATTCAGCTAAAAAAGATAAAGTAACTGTTAACTATAAAATCTACCCCAATTTTTAAAAAGAAGCATGATCAAATTCAAATTTAGTTCTCACCTGAGTCCTTTATGATATTATTTTAAATTTATACACTTTTAACATGGTTAGATTATTTATAAGCCAACTAAACTTTCTTATTTAAAAAACAGAAAAGATAAGAACAAAGAATAAATTTTTCATTTTTTGTTCCCTATCTTCAAAAAGAAGGCATCTCATTTAGAGTTTTACTAACCCATTCCTGATTCAGATCTCCAATGTTCACCTGTTACTAAATAAGATTTAGGTATAAACACAAATAAACAAAAAAAGTAAATCAATTTGAAAATTTGAAGAAAGGACCTCCTTATAACTTCAGCATCCTGTACAGAGCCCAACATAAAGAAGCATTCAATAAATGTTGTGGAGTTAACATTGTAGTTAATAACAAAAAAAACCCAGAAGGATTTCTGACCCCAATCACAAATATTTCTCTTCAAAATAATTTTTCCAAACCCTGATTATCTGTCAAATGTGAAATACATATTACTTAAGCAACCAAAATAGATTAAAAATGTTAAAAACACTTATTTTTGCCAGCAGTTGCCTACCTTGCTCATAGTGCTAAAAATTAAATAATGACAAAACTGCCAAAAAGAATAGAATGAAAAGATTTAGATAATTTAACAACTGGATATTCAGAATTTGATTATAGTACTTTCCAGTAATTTGGTATATATTCCCCTAAAATGATCAGTTAGCAGAAATAATTCTCTTGGCTGTCAACACACAAGAATTTTATATTATAGTATGTAAGATTTTATCTATCTATCTGTCTGTCTATCTATCTATCTATCTATCTATCTATCTATCTATCTATCTATGAGAGAGAGAGAGCAAGCAGGGGAGGAGCAGAGGGAGAGGGAGAGAGAGAATCTTGAGCAGACTCTGGCTGAGCGCAGAGCCGACACGGGGTTCGATCTCATGACCTTTAGATCATGACCTGAGCCGAAACCAAGAGTCAGACTGAACCATCCAGGCACCCCTGTATTACAGTACATAAATCCAAGGAGTATAAAACCTTTGTCTTTACAGACATAGCCATAAATGACAGAACAATACTAAGGTTTCCAATCTCAGTGGTATATGTACATAAACACATTCAAATAAACGCTAGAATTCACAAAAATGAATAATAAAAATCTACCCGTAGGCCACAGCATTACCACATATTTAGAGCAATAATATTTATGGCTTGAAAAGACACTTACATCAAAGCCAGTATTCGGATCCCAACCAACATGTCCAATGTGCCTAAAGAAGTAGACCAAAAATACATATAAATAAAAAATAGAAAATACATAAAAAGCATTTAAAACATAAAATATATGAAATCCAATCCAACCAATAAATTTTGGGGCTGAACTAATAGTTCTCACAGACATACCCATATTCAGGGAAAAACTGTGTGAGGAGTCAGGAGGTCAGGATTAAAACTGAGTTTTAACATTTTTGCACAATCTTTCTGAGCATCCATTTCCTCAACTGTCAAACTAGCAGAAGAATATAAGCATATATACATGAGAGGATAGGAATTTTGTAATGAGCTAATGAAATGATGTATATGAAAATGCTTAAAATATGTCAAATAAATACCAAAGGTTTGATGCCTACTACAGACTAAATGTTTGTGTCCCCTAAAAATTCCTATGTTGAGACTTAATCCCCAATGTGATGGTATTTGGAGATAAGGATTTGGGGAGGTGATTAGGTTTTGAGGGTGGATCCCTCAAGAATGGGATTAGTGCCCTTAAAAAAAAGGCCCCAGAGAGTTCTCTTGCCCTCTTCCTCTTTTTTTTTTTTTTTTTTAAAGATTTTATTTATTTGACAGAGAGAGCACAAGCAGAGGGAGAGAGAGGGAGAAGCAGGCTCCCTGCTGAGGAAGGAGCCCAATGTGGGACTCGATCCCAAGACCCTGGGATCATGACCCGAGCCAAAGGCAGCCGCTTAACCGACTGGAGCCACCCAGGCGTCCCTCTTGCCCTCTTCCAACATGTGAGGAAGACAGCTAGAAGACAGCTATTAATCAGGCAGTGGAACCACACTAAATTTTGCCTGCCTCTTCCCAATCTCCAGAACTATAGAAATAAAATTCTGTTGTTTATAAGCCACTCAGTCTACGGTATTCTGTTATAGCAGCCCAAATGGACTAAGACAGTGCCTCTAGGCAATTTCCAAATACCATTTATAGGGAAAAAGTGAGAAATCATTATGTCCAACAGTTATTTAAAGAAACAACTTAATCTGATATTTCTTTCCTGATGAGAAGGGTAAATAAACTGTAAGATGCACAGGAAGTCTACTGAGCAATAGCCTTAAAAAAAAAACAACACACATACACACACAAAAAAACCCAACTCCAACAAAATCTATAGCGAAAAAAGTATGCAGATGATAAATGTAAGGGTCCTCCAAAAAAGAAAACAAAATTTTCTAACAAGGTAAAAACCAAGAGCAGCAGTGAGTAAATGAAAAGATAAGAAAAACAAAAGAACTCTCTTACTGGAAATTGCTTGGTGTTCCAATATCTGCCTTGGTTAATCTCTTCTTTTTAGCTTTTCCTTTTTTCTTTTCTTTGGTATGGGAGATGTTGTTGACTTGTGGACCATAAAATCTATTGGTTGTGATTTCTGGATTTTTTATGTCAACTGTTGCCATGGGTAGATTAGGACCTGCAAAACAATATGAAAAGGATATAATTTAAGATAACAATTATTACATTCATAATTTATAATTTAAGTATCTTTCTCTGAAGTAGGACCACTTCACTAATATAAATTATTTAAATTTTAAAGTTGCATGTTAATTTTTTATAAATAATGGATAAAGTACTGCCAAAATTTCAAAAGCCTATAATAAATTCTTAAACACATTAGCATAGGTGGTATTTCAAAGAGAACTTACATTTTTGTAACATTAAATCTCATGGAAAATAAAAATAAAAATTTTCAATAAGAATTTAAATTTAATTGGTCTAAATCCCTTAAATTTTGACTATAATAGCCTTACACACATCCCATTACTTGTGGGTAAAGTGGTATATATGACATAACAAGCATAATAAAAATTAAAAAGAGCATATACTTTTTTTTTTAAATCTGACACAGAAATCTAGTCTTACTTCTTTGTTTCAACTTTATTAGTCCATGAGGGAAAAAAAGTACTTATACAATTATTACTACTATTTTTTCCAAAACTACCATATATAAGTCCAGTAATATTTTCCCTATCAGTATACGTACACTTTGACTTTGGAAGTACAGGGCTCAAAAATGAGATGGAAAAATTCTCAAAACACTCATCTTCCACAAGAATCAATAGTGAAAATCTCCAGCATCTTCAGATATTGATAATAGCACCTTTAGTAGTGACACTAAATATAATATACAAAACCTGTTTTATAATTCACAAAAATATCCTTGGCTTTAAAAGCATGACAGTCTAAATGAAATGTATTCAATTTAAAAATTCCTTATAAATTTAACTAATGGCATCACATGTTCCTATTTTAATATAGGATTCTCTGACAAAACCTCTTACTAGAAAATTCCTCTGAGATGAGTATATTAATGCCATCCTTAGAAAGGGCTGCTTGTAAGATTTGCTCTGAGCTGGCATCTGGAAAATGGGATTGCAAGAGGTTTTTTTATCATTCCCTGATAAGATGGGCTCATTGTGCCTCAACTATTTGTGCTAACAATGTGCTTAATGCTAAACACCTGCGTTCCTTCTGGGAGTCTAGTATCTTGGTATGTGCTAGAAAGAGGAGGACTACGTGATTAACCCCCAATAAACTCTGAGCACTGAGTCCCTAATGAGTTTCTCTTTTAGACAACATTTACCATGTGTTGTAACAACTTATTACTGGACGAATTATGTGCATTCCCCACGACTCCAATGGGAGAAGACTATGGCAAAGCTGTATGTGGTTTCCCTCAGACTAACCCCATATGTCTTTCCCTTTGTTGATTTTGTTTTATATCCTTTCACTGTTGTAAATCTTTGCCATGAGTATCCCACTATATGCCTGGTCCTGTTGAGTCCTTCTAGCAAATCAGCTGTGGGGTGGTCTTGAGGACCCCTGACACAATCATAGAATGGAAAACAGAAATCCCAAGAAATTACAGGCTAATGTATGTTAGGTGATAACTAAATGCTAATTTGACTGTATTTCTTCAACTGCATTAAAAACCTCAAATGTAGCCTATTCATTAAAGTTATATGAAAGAACAATGTTTATCTAAATGGGTATATTATATATAACCCATGTTCTCTCTTTCAACTCTACTATTCAAGATGAAATAGAGCTAAAATAAAATTTACAAAAGCCATCTACCACCTTATCGGACAAGTAAACAATTTGGAAAGATTTGTATTTTTAATATCACCAAAATTCAGCTATTTTCCCTCCATATTCAAAGTCTACTTACATGTAAGTGTCTAAAAGTTCTATCTGTATTTTCATATAAAATTCCATGGGAAATTGCTCATATCGGCAAGAAATAAAGAAACTGTTATTTGAAAAAGATGGAAGGTAGTGAATAATATGGATAAGACCATTAAAATAAGCTGATTCAGTGTCAAGGAATAATAAAAATGACTGGATCAAAAGTTAAAGGTTAGTTATGCAATACAGAAGGCTTATGAAATAGTAGATAAAGGCTGGATTTTCAAATTTGTTCAGGTATCAGATTTCAGTGTTTACTATAGTTTCACAAAGTAAGGGACTTATTGAGAATACCCAGAACTCAAGTGTTGGAGGGTTAAATTGGTGCCATACTCAAAGGCTTATCTACTGATCTGTTTCTACCTCTCTTCCTTTCTTTTCTGCCTTCCCTCTTATTATTTAGCTTTACAAATCAGTATCAGCAACACCATCCATGGTAAGATGCCGCAAAACACTACCTACTCTCTTATCTTTATACTTAATAGAATTTAAGAGTTAGCTTAAGACAGATTTAGGAGTATCAGAATGAGGCACTTTCCTTATACATTACCACCCCTCCTGAAATAGGTGTTCAAAGAGCAACTATAAAGAAGCAACCAGATTCACCATTTAAAAAATAACAAAACTATTACTAGTTTTTAGAAAAAAACAAAGATGAAAATATTTTTATGCTGCTTTAGGTTATATAAAAGTTATTATTATACCATGGATGTTTTAAATGGTAATAGAATGGGGTAAAGTGAAGTTTAATAGTTTAAATTATCCAAGCTAATAAATTCTTTTCTGGGAAATTTAATAAAGTTAAGATTCTTGTAAGCCTGATTCATAACTCACTAGAGAAAATAATTCAGTCATCTCTGAAGAAAGTTTAAGGATAAAGAAGACAGGAACAAAATATAAGTGGTATGTGGAATGAATAACAAAGTTTAACTCATACTGTAGTCAGACTGTTTCCCCTCCTCCCTCTACCCAAAACGGAGGTGTGGATATATTGTTACTGCCACACAGTTTATAAAGCCTTTGAATTAGCTATTTAGCGTCATTACACATGAATTTCATTAGTACTAGTTAAAACATTACTTAAGTCTATACAGGAAAATTCAAATTATACAGAATACAGAAAATTAGTATTAGCTGAGAAATTAGAGTGTTTTTCTACACTTTTCATCTTATAGATGAAAACTAAGGATGAGAAGGGTCAGGTGACCTATCTAAAGTCACACAATTAGTGGCAAAAGCAAAGGTGAACTCTATCTTGGTTCCTAGTCCACTACCCTATTAATTACTACTGTACTTTTTACACTAAAGTCAAACCATAAGGTGATTGATAATGCTAACGTTACCAATGTTATCATATATCATTTCCTTATCAATTAGTTTTCTCAATTTATATAGTTCAACAGTCCATCATTCAATAAATATAACTTCCAAAATTTAGAAAAAAAAAAAAACTCCTACATAATCATGGGATTTAGGTATTTGGTTATTTCTGTTGACAATAGTCACTTACTTTAGAGTTTGAAGGTGTTTGGAAGTAAGTTTAAAACGGTGTTCTAAAGCCCAATTAAATATTTGTTTCAAAAGTGACAACCTGTGTAAGGCACGGAGTCATTTTTTAATAAAGTTTATGGAAGATCTGGTAATACAGATACTCTTATATCACTTCTAGTAAAAATTAAATTATTCCATTTATGAAATTGTACTCATCCTAAGAACATATACTAAGTAAATATATAATGGAGGGGGCGGTTTCCCTTCTTTAAAAAAAAAAACAAAAACCAGTCAAATGACAAATTACCATTTTCTGATTAAAGACAACTGTCACAGAAAAGGCTTTTTAATACTCTCGCTGAACAGCATTTTTAGTTAATCTTTAGAACTAAAAGAACAAACTGAAGTCTTCCCCTTAATTACATAAAAAGCAGAGAACTCTCACCAAGGTAAAATAGTTGAGAAACAGGTGGCCCAGAGGCCTCTGATGTCAAGCAGTCATGAAGCTGAGAACAAATCATTGGAAAGCATCTAAGCTAAAAGGTGAGACTGACCGATAAAGAAAAAAGAAAGATGTATGGATTAGGAGTTAGTGAGGAAGACACTGAATTGCATTTCAGGAGTATATGTTACTTCTACATAAAGTGTCTTTTTAATAGTTACGATTTGACAAGGTCTACTAAACTGATAATCCAAATGCGGATTTAAGACAAAACACCCGGGTGGACACAGCAGGGTGGTTCAGGTGTCCACTGCGCCTGACAGTAGGGTAGAGTACCAAATGCAGGAAAGTAATATGCTGCCCTCAAAACAGCGGTCTCCACAGAGTGGGGAGAGCAAGACAAATGACTGCACTGCAGGAAAAAAAATACGAAAACTTCTATTAATTATTTCATCCTTTACTGTGTATGTAATATGTTAATACCATATTATATGTATATTTTATAAGGAAATATACAAATGCTGGCAATACATGCCATATAATTTTGCCTTTTAATGATACTATTTTTTTAAACTCTCATTTAATGAAAAGAAGTTTGGGATCACTGTGCCGAAGGGTTAAAACTACAGATCTAAAGATTTAAAACCAAGAGCAATCACAGAGAAAGAAACTATTTAATTATGAGTACCTCTCCTACTAGGAGTAATAAAATTGCAAGACACCACTGTCACCAAATTCATGAGGTGCCTGGTAGCTCAGTCGGTTAAGTGTCAGACTCTTGGTTTGGGCTCAGGTCATGATCTCAGCAGAGTCGGCTTGTCCCTCTCTCCCTCCCCTTCTGCTCCTCCTCCCGCTCAGAGCTCTCTCTCTAATAAATAAATAACATCTTAAAAAAAAAAAAAAAAGAATATCCAAATTCTGTGTATTCACGGATTAGGTGCCTCTTCAAAAGTACATTTTATATGTACTGAAAACTCCATAAAGTATTTATATTGTTAACTTTAATTATTTATACAACATCTACACTTTAAAATCTCAGGTTACTTTTCCCAAAGATGCCACTTCTAGGAAGCCTTCCCCACTGGTACTCAACACATGCTTACAGAATGCAGAATAAATTCAAAAGGATTAAAATATTGAGCATGCAACAAGGGAAAAAAATTCTAACACTGCTGTAAGAGTTCACAGATGAAGGACTTCTGACTCAGCTGCTTCTGCTTCCTTTGCCTCTGCCTCGTATCAGCTGTGTAACTTAAGGCATGTTATTTACCCAGTCTAGGTCTCAGTTTCTCCTTCAAAATCTTATGGACATAGCATAGTGATTAAGGGGCCAGGCTGTGGAGTTAGACTGCTTGAGACTGAACCCTGCTCTACCACTTACTAGTTTTGTGACCCTGAGCAAGTTACCCACCTTTGCCCCTGTGTGCTCTTCTATAAAATGGGGATAATAGCAGCCATTTCATAAGACCGCTGGACAGTGCGTGGCTGGTAGTAAATGATCATTACATAGTAGCTGCTAAAATTATTGTTGTCATTGTCTTCATCATAACCAGTATTTAGTTATACTATGCTAAGTACTTTGATTACTTCGTTTAATCTCCACTGCAGTCCTATAAAAAAGTATTAAAATTTCCACTTAAAAGACAAAGTCAAAGTATATAATACTTGGCACAAGGTAAGTCTTACTGAAGGTAGTCATTTTTTAAAAAAATTATAATAAGGTAAATAATCCAAAATTTAATACAGCAATATTTGGTTCATGTTTTTATATCAGGAAAACAAATTTAAGGACAAAATCAGAAATATATCTGATTAAGAGAAACAAACCCTAACAATCACCAATAGCTGTCACACATTGTGTGTTTTCTGGAATAAGCTATCTAAATTCTAATGAGAGGATGTGAGATGCTTTAAAAAAAAAAAAAAAAAGCCATATTTTCCATTATAATTAAGGTTCCTGGAGCAATGGTTCCTTTCCTCCACAGGGTCAGGGACCCAGTTTAAATGTGATGAAAGTTCTGCATCCTCTCTCCCCAGAGAAAATATATACACTTAAGAATTTACCACACTATTTCAGGGAGGGTTTATGGAGTCCAGGATAAGAATCTTTGCCCTAAAGATGTGGGACTTTGTCCTTTCTATTTTGGAATGTACACCTTTCTGGTATATATGTTTTTGTTTTTTTAAAATGAATTCTCAATACTTCAAGTGCTCATCATCAAATTAAGGAGGGTAATATACAGCTACTATTACTTCTAAACACACCATTAAAGTCAGTGCTCATTCTCACAGAGGCTAGTTTCATATTACCAGTATGAAATAATATTTCAAAATAAAAAAACATAAATCTTAAAGTAAGAAGTGAACAAGTATGCGACACAAAATTTACTACCTTTAAGGAAGATATTAAGTCAAGATTATACAGTTCCTAAACTTAATCAATTGTCAATACAGAATGAAGATGTAATAGTGATCTTCACCCTACATAGTCCTCCTTCATCCTATAAAAAAGCCAAAGAATAGTACATTTCTAAGACTCATCTTTGTTATTTTTAAAATGACACAATAAACTACAGTATTTGATCACAGATATTAAAAATTAAGTATTAATGTATGATACACGTTTCTAAAAGGATTAAACAACCATCCAAAATCTTCTAGATCAATAATTTGTATCTAAGAGCTTACCATTTGGGGGGTCTCGTCTCTTCTCTGTTAGAAAATAAATTAAAATAGTATTATTAGACATACACAATACAAAAATCAACATAAAAAATTAATTCACCTAAATTCTGTCTTATTCCTAAATCAATGTATAAGTGGCTAAGAAAGGTTTCTCTTAGGAACTGACATCTGAATAAAATAAGAGAGGGAACAACATATTTAAAGGCCCTAAGGAGGGAACAGCATGAAGGAACATCATGAAGCTTGGACTAGAGTGAGCCAACAGAAGAGTAAAAGGAGACCCAGGGACTGGATCATATAGGGTCCCACAGGCCATGGTAAGGAATACAGATTGTATTCTATATATGATAGGAAGCTATTACAGGGTTTTCAGTAGGGCCAGTGACATAATCTAATCTATGTTTTTAAAAGTTAACTTTGGCTACTATGTGGAAAAGAGATCGTAGGGGGCACTGAGTGGCAGCAGGGAGACTAGTGAGGGAGTTATGGTAGTCCAGATGACAGATGATGGGGGCTTAGATGGGGGGGGGGGCAGCAAAGGTGATGAGAAATAGATCCGGGATATGTTTTTGAAGGCAGAGACAACAGACTCACTGATAGGATTTACGAGAGACCATGGTAAGCCAGAGCAGAGCCTTCTACCAAGTTGGGGAAGATGTGGAGAGGAGTAGGAACAGGTCTAACTGGGGTTAGGGAACATGGCTCAAATGTTCTGCTCAGACATGTTAAGTTTGAAGGTTATTCTGATGCCCAATTGAAGTAAACAAGTCTGAAGGTTGGGGGAAACGTCAACAAATTTGGGGGGGCATCAGCATATGGAGAGTTTTCAAAGCTACAGGACTCAATGAAATCGCAAGAGTAATGAGAGATCTGATCACTAAAGCAGACCAAAATGATAATAAAAAGCTATAGAAGATTAGGAAGGAGTAAATCGAGGAGAACTATCAATCCATTGCACTCAGACTCTTACATACCAAGTTTGATATCATTTTGGCTTTAAGAAATTCAAAAGTGGTTGAAGAATTTTAAACAAATGTAATTTCCACAGATTTTCTAATATAAAATTGCCCAAAATTATAAGAGAAATACCCATAAATAAGGATATAATAATTAGTTTATAAACAGCCATAAACTAAAATTAATAGGATTTAACTGGGGGACAAGTTAAAAAATCCTGGCAATGGGAAACACAAATTTATTACTCCATCTGGTGGTCTGATGAAGTAACTTTCTGAAACACTGGACATAAGCAAGTCCTATCTATGTCAATGAATGTCAATCTCCCATTTCCCAGGTGATGTTATCTCTGCAACCACAGAGGAAATACTTCTTAAACTGATAACACAGATATGGAAATATACTGAGATAAATATAAAGTTCAGAGGATAAGTTCTAAAAAGTAATTTACAAATAAGACACAAACCGGGCTTGAGAGCCATTCATATGAAAAAAGTGAGAGTTTGGTTGAACAAAGAAGAATGGGAGCTATTGGTGTGAGGTATTTGCTAGAAACATTTGCAGAACAGTGTTTAATCAAATCAAGAGGTATTTTAGTATCAACTAGTAAAACTACTTGTGGAGTACTGTGTTCAGATATGACCACAGTATTTGAAGCTGGATCATTTCTTCAAATCTGGACCATCTGAAGAAGACATAAAAATCTATAGTGGATTCAGAGCACAGTATTCGGGATGATGCGTCTAGAAACTACATCATGTGAGGAGTAAGAAATTGAAACTGGTTAAACTAAAGAAGTAAAGGCATGAGAACATGATAGATGGCTTCCAGTATTAAATAGCTACTGGGAGGAAAAGAAAACAGACTAATTCTTTGTTGCTCCCAAAGTCAGACTCCATGCATCTAAGAAAGAGAGGGGAGGCTGGAGTTTGACTTAGCATGAAGCACTACCCAATGATCAATCAGCGGCCTCCCTGATCTTTCTGCTTCTGAAACACCATGCTTACAAGTTTAGGAACTACATAAAACAAAATTCCTGTACCAGCTGAAAGACACCTTTAAGTGACCTTCCTATTTCAAAGTCAATTAGTCTATATTTTAAGAAATATTTTTTACTTGTTTTGATTTGGAAATGTCACATATTTTGACTATAAGGAGCCCCACAGAGCCCCTGGCCTAGGACCTGACTATGTCACTGAAGTAGAGCACTGAACCATAAGTTATTCTATACCTTTAAATCCTTTCCTAGCATGGAATCGAGTAATTCATGTCCTTGGTCCCAAAAAGAAGTAACAAAAAACAGGTCCCTGATAATTCTGTTTACTCATTACAGTTGAGGTATAATAAGGCAATTGTGAGGCAAAACTTAGTTCATTTTATTTTCATTTTTTATCTCACCTCCCTCTTGAAAACCCATTAAAATAACAATAAAGACGTACAAAATGGAATACATGATTTTACATTTCTGTTTTCTGGATCCAATGTCTTATTTTTTCAAGGCTTAGTTCCTTTTAGTGGCAAAGCACATCCTGGAATACAGTGATCTTCAAAACTGTGGTAACATGTACCCCCAGATGTACAGAAAAACTTTCCAAGGAGCGTATGGCATAGCTAGTTTGAAGGGGATCTATTTGGTGATCGCAACTCCCATATGTCCTTTCTCCTAAAACTCATCTTCTTAAGATGTTGATTTTAGAGAGATTCACCTTTCCTAATCACCCTTCTCCCACCTGATGACAGAAAGGCCTAGTACACTGTTGTCAAATATTTCTATATCAATAAATTTAAAATTCTATACTAGACTGCATCATTCTCTATTTTATATGTATTACAGTCTCATGCATTAAACTACATTCCTTATGGTTTTATAATAGACAACATTAGGGCAAAACAGAGACAAAACAATGTTAACAGACTTTGTTTGCAATTTCGCTTATTTGCTTCTAGGCTTACCTAAAAAGTCTTTGTTGACAAAGTATTAAATATTCTAAGAATGTAAGTTAAGAACAATGCCATAAAAATGCAAGTTTAAGAGTCAGTATACATGGAATGTTATCAACAAAAAAGGTTATCAGAATGAGTTCTTCAGTAAATTTGAGAAAAATTAGTTCTTAATAAAAATATTTCTCTTAAGGATTAGTGCATTTTTTTTTTTTTTGGAAGGGGCCAGAGAATAAATATTTTAGGCTTTGTGTGCCATAGTCTTTGTTGTAACTACCCAACTGTTGTGGCACAAAAGCAGCCATTAGATGTATTATACAGACAGAATGGAAACCAATGAGCGTAGCTGTGTCTCGCTAATACTTTATTTATAAAAACAGGTGTGGGTCAGATCCGTCCCATGAGCCATAGTTTGCCAGCTCCTGTTCAAAAGAATTAAAAAAAAAAAAAAAGTTTACCAGATTTCCTTTGTCGCCGGCCCAACAAGTCTGTAACTGCTTTTCGGAATTTTTTTGCTTCTTCTTCATTGGCAAAATTAAGAGCAACTTGACAAGTCTGAAATATTTTTATTAAAAAAGGTAAACAACAAAAAACATGAGTCTAGCTTTATTTAATAAAAAAGTTGATAACAAAGTACATTTCTAAAGAAGGAAAGCTGAGTTTACTAGCAGACAAGAGCTTAGCTTAGCTTAGTTTTAATTTTATCTGAATAACTTAAGAATACTGAGAGCATGGAGAAGGCAAAGTAAAAGACTACTATTAGAAAAGTTGCCTCTCATAGTAGACATTCAAATATTAAATGGAATACTCCATCTTTTTTTTTTTTTTTTTTTAAAGATTTTATTTATTTATTCATGAGAGACAGAGAGGGAGAGGCAGAGGGAGAAGCAGGCTCCAAGGAGCAGAGAGCCCGATGCGGGACTCGATCCCAGGACCCTGGGATCATGACCTGAGCCGAAGGCAGACGCTTAACCATCTGAGCCACCCAGGCGCCCTGGAATACTCCATCTTCAACAACAACAAAAAGAGCAAATTGAATTTGATCTTTCAATAGAACTCTACAAAATAATTTGGATTTCAGAAAAGGCAAACACCAGAAAAGTTGGTCAAATGCAGGTCAGCTCTATCTTCACTAGGTTGTATGTATTATTTAAATTATAACCTTAATTCAGATAAATTATTAAAGATGTGGAAACACACTGACATCGATTATGGCATTTTATGCACACTTTTATATATGTACATATATTTATATTTTATTAAGAAAAATGTGAAAAATAACAGCTAGAGAAGAAAATACTTTTTGAAAAGATACATCATCTAATCTAAACTTTTTTCTCATTATACAAAACTTAGGAAATACAAATATGAAAATAAAGAAAATTAAAATCGCCTATAACCTAGTTAGACAATCCCTGTGAGCATACAGTATGGAAATGCTTCTAACATCTTCCTCAAGTTTATGCAATAAATTTTTTTTTTTTTTAAGATTTTATTTATTTATTTGAGAGAGAGAGAATGAGAGACAGAGAGCATGAGAGGGAGGAGGGTCAGAGGGAGAAGCAGACTCCCTGCCCAGCAGGGAGCCCGATGCGGGACTTGATCCTGGGACTCCAGGATCATGACCTGAGCCGAAGGCAGTTGCTTAACCGACTGAGCCACCCAGGCGCCCCTATGCAATAAATTTTTAAAATTCTATTCTCCCCTTATACACATTTATTGTATTTTTGCACTCTTCTAGGTCATGAACTATTCTTTCACAAAATAATTTGAATGGCAATATAACATTCAATATTTAAAAGATACCATGGATTAGTGGGCAAGTAAGACTTCATTTTTATACATAAGAAAACTAAATACCGGAAAGATTAAGCTATCTATCCAAAGACAAAGATGACAAAAAACCAAATTTCTTTTCTACATAGCAAATTATATTTACAATACTCTTTGGAATCTTTTTTTTTTTTTTTTTTTTGGCCCTTTAAAATCTTAGACATTTCTGGGGCACCTGGGTAGCTCAGTCGTTAAGCATCTGCCTTCAGCTCAGGTCATGATCCCAGGGTCCTGGGATCAAGCCCAAATCAGTCTCCCTGCTCAGCAGGAAGCCTGCTTCTCCCTCTTCCACTCCCCCTGCTTGTGTTCCCTCTCTTGCTGTCTCTCTCTCTCTCTCTCTGTCAAATAAATAAATAAATAAAATGTTAAAAAAATAATAAAAATTAAAAAAAATCTTAGACATTTCTTCCTATTTAGCTATACTATCTATGAAGAAGCTTTTAAAAGTAAAATAATTCTTTTTACTTTATACAATGTTTACATGGAAAGCTCATAAATGCTTTCCACAGACAAATATAAAAACATTTACATTAAACAGGGCAATAAAAAAAATATGACTTACATCTCCAGCAAAGGTATGAAAATATCCTCTAGGACTATTATATACAAAGTTATTGTATAGCTCTTGTTCCCACAATAGTTTCCCATCCTAGAAAAAAGTTAAAATAAGAGTTACCAAAAAGATAATCTCTAGGAATAAAACAAAATAGATGACTCATATTCAGGGAATTAGCTTTTACATGCACAGAAAACACACGTGTATAAAACATAAATAACATAATTTAATCAGTAATTTCTTAACAAAAGAGTACATTCTGGATGTTTCTTTCAAAAAACTACATAGCAAATGAGTTTAATTCAGTATGCTAAGACACAGTCTCATTAGCCTTGTATTCCCAAATATAGTTACTCAAATACAAAACTAGAACAATTACTAGATCATCATTGTTAGATAGAAGGACTAGAATACTGTTGTACATGCACTGATTATCAATGCATAGTTCCATCAGCAATAGACTGCCATCAAATATTACAGAACAGTTCATGCTCTCTTCCTCAATTCTGTAGATTCTGGGAGGGTCAAATATACCTTCTCTGTATTGTTCATTAACAATTTTTGAATCCCTAACTTATACACAGTGACCCTCTAAATAAATACAGGTAAAAGCAGTTAGTGTTGATCATGTGCAGAAAAAGACTGATGATTAAAGTGCACCGAGGTTAGAGTATAGTTAAGAGAACCATGGATGACTGGATTGTCCTATCTATGGCTGCAGTAGAAGAAATATAATTAACCTAATACCAAAGGTGGATAACTGCAAGTATTCAGCATTGGTTATCTATAATTAGAAATAAGTGGTTAGAGAAATATAAGTATTGTCCTATTCCGAAATCAAAGTTCTACCTAGACCATGACTTAAAGATATTCAGAAAACACTGTACGCACATATAATGCAATTCCTTTCTTCTCAGTGGAGTTATATGCACACTTGATTTCTAAACAGTGCTTCTCACTGGTGTTGAGAAATATGTCATAAAAACTAAACAGTTTTTTTCGAAACATGCATGTGTTCCCTATCCCCTAGAATCACTGCCATAGTGAGCGCCCACTACAGGAATATGCCATGTCTCTCAGCTGTCCTGGGGGATGGAGAAGCGGATGTTAAGCACAGTTACAAAGTACAGTAACTTAAATCTTATTTAATCTCAGGGAAACACTTTGCATTAGAACCAGATGGTTCTCCCATTTTACAAATAAATAAGCCAAGGCCCAGAGAAGTAAAACAGTTTGACTACAATCTATCTATCCTTAAGCATCATCCAGGAGAGTTCAAAGTCAGTTTATTTTTGGTAATTATTCCATTATACTTATTGCCATATCATATAAATATTACAAAAGCCTACCTATAGAAAAGGTTTTGTTTTTTTTTTTAATTTATTTATTTGTTAGAGAGAGAAAGAGTGAGGCAGGCAGAGGGAGAAGCAGGCTCCCCGCTGAGCAGGGAGCCCAATGTGGGACTCGATCCCAGGACTCTGGGATCATGACCTGAGCTGAAGACAGACACTTAACCGACTGAGCCAACTAGGCGTCCCCTATAGAAAAGGTTTTAAAAGATAAATGGAGGCTTCATCTCTGCACAAAGGTAATTACTTCTACGGTAACTGTAAGAGGGTGAATACCTGAGAATGGGCATTGAATCTAGGACAATATGGATTTGTGTTTGAATGTGAGAGGTACAAAGCTGCGAAAATCTGAACATACCTATGTTGAGACAACATAAGGAAAAATGGGTAGCAAACACATTATTATAGATACTGTATCATGCTTTAAACCTAGGATGAAGTAACTAACAGTACATACTAAACTAAAATATACTTCTATAGTTCCTTGAAAGGACTATATATGCTACTCTGTAATGGACAAAATCGAATAAAAGAGTACCATTAGAAAAAGAGAAAATATAAGGAAAGCCCACGATGTAAAGGTATTAAAAACAAAAACAAAAAAGTCCTTTAATATGTGGTGGCTGTGGAAAGATAAAATAGGGAACTATTCATGTTCTGGCTTATGACCTATTCCTGTTTGGTTGCAATGCCCATGCTTCATTATCTAAAACCAAGCTTCACTCTTCTAATATTAAGTATAATTTAACAATACATACAGGATGAACAAAAATTATATATATAACAATATATATAAATATATATAAAAATTATAACTGAGGTTAAAAAACCTATTCACCTACAGTTTAAAGTGGAAACAAAACTCACCTTAATATCAAATATTCTTAAAAAATAAGATCTCTGTGGATTGTCCTTAACAAGACAAGCGACACCGCTGCACTTCTTTGACCACATACAGTTACGATCTGCTGCATATAACTGTACCACTGCTGAAGACATAGTCTGGAAAATATAAAATTTATAGCCATTACGTTCAAAATAACATTCAGATGACCACAGCCCCTGCTGACATCTTCATTGCAACCTCATGAGAGACATGCAACCGGAACCACCCAGCTATGCTGCTCCTGATTTCCTGTCCCACAGAAACAAGGAGATAATAAACATTTATTGTGGGGCGCCTGGGGGGCTCAGTTGGTTAAGCGACTGCCTTCGGCTCAGGTCATGATCCTGGAGTCCCGGGATCGAGTCCCGCGTCGGGCTCCCTGCTCGGCGGGGAGTCTGCTTCTCCCTCTGACCCTCCTCCCTCTCATGCTCTCTGTCTCTCATTCTCTCTGTCTCAAATAAATAAATAAAATCTTTAAAAAAATAAAAATAAAAAAAATAAAAATAAACATTTATTGTCACTTTAAGCCATTACTTTTTGAAGTAATTTCTTATGCAGTAGTAAATAACACAATATCTACACTAAAAATAACTATGGAAAGCAAACATTTACTGATGCTTAGAATGTGTCAAAAATCATGTTAAGCACTTTAAACTCAACTCCATTTAAATTTATTACTATTATAATCTCATTTTATGCTTGCAAACCCAAGGTTAAAGGGATAAATAATTTGCCTCAAATCACACAGCAAAGTGGCAGAGTTCCAAAGAAGACAATCTGTGACTTCAGATCCTATATTCTTACTCCCTGTAATATACAGTAGTCCCCCTTTATCCATGGGGCATACATTCCACGACCCCCCCAGTGGATGCCTGAAACTGCAGATAGTACAAATCCCATATATACTATGTTTTTTCCTACATATCTATGATGAAGTTTAATTTATAAATTAGGCATAGTAAGAGATTAAAAACAATAATGAAAAGTAAAATAGAACTATTACAACTATTGTAACAAAAGTTATGCAAATCTGGGATCTCTCTCAAAATATCTTATCATACTATACTCATCCTTCTTCTTGTGATGATATGAGATGATAAAATGCCTATGTGAGCAGATGAAGTGAGGTGAATGCCGTAGGCATTATGATGTAGCGTTAGGCTACTACTGACCTTCTGACAATACGTCAGAAGGAGGATCATCTGCTTCCAAACTGCAGCTGACTGATCATGGGTAACTGAAACTGTAGAGAGCAAAACCGTGGATAAGGGAGGACTACTATACCATTTTCCAATACAGTGAACATTTAAGTAATGAAGTAGTAGTGTTAGTAAAGGCTGATGTCCATATAGCAGTTAACTACTTTAGTACGGTACTAAATCAAACCAGAGGCAAGATTTGAAGGTACAAATTATAGGGCTGGGCACTCTGAACATACCATCATCCTGGAAGATACATTCTAATATCACCTTTTTATTATTATTTTTTAAGATTTTATTTATTGGACAGAGAGACAGAGAGAGCACAAGCAGGGGGAGCGGTAGGCAGAGGGAGAGGGAGAAGCAGGCTCCCCACTGAGCAGGGAGCACAATGCGGGCTTGATCCCAGGATCCCGGGATCATGACCTGAGCCGAAGGCAGACACCAAGCCACCCAGTGCCCCTCTAATATCACCTTTTTTAAGGATGGCAAAACTAAGGGAAAAAAGACATTAAGTGACTTGCACTTGGCCATGCTTGAGAGCTATACATGAGAGCTATACTGAAGAGATGAAATTTGAGTTATTATTGTACTAATTTTCTCTAGGATATACCTAACTAGTACCCTTTTAGATGTGTAAGAGAAAAGCTAATTGTTACAAGCAAGGAACACAGCACATTAAGTTTTACCATGTTGCCACCTCCCTCAGGGCAGCATCATGAAAAAATGGAAACTTTTGTTTAATTCTAAATTAAAGTTTTTTTTATATTATAATTCCGGACGTTAACTATTCGATTTTAGTTTCTGTAAGAGTGATACACAGCACTTAAAAATCCTTTGAAAATAATAATCATGTTTTCTGGTCTAAATCTAGTGATTTCACTCCAAAACTAGAAACCAACGAAATAATTTAAAATACAACAAAAATTTATTATTTGTAATATAAATATGAAACAAAATGTCTATATAAATACATTAGTTATGGTTTTTTTTTTAAATAAAAGGAATTTAAATAACCGGAAGTGACGAATGATTTAAGTAAGAACAGTACATAAGAAAAAAAAAAGAACAGTACATCAGTTCAGTGAATACTGGGCATTGTTAAAGAAAATAGACTACGTTAAGATTTAGAGATAAAGCTGTTTTGGGTTACTTAACTATGGCTGGGGAATGCCTTCCTTTGATAAGAGGATTCCAAAGAGCTAATATACACACACACACATACATATGCAGGTCTTTTATAGTAATAAAGTCAAAAATGTAAGATCAGTGTACTTTTGGGGACCAAAATATATAAAGACTTTCCTAAGTAACACTACTCCATGTTATGTTTTTAAGTTTTGTAGACCAAACTCATCTCTGAATTTCAGAATCATGAATAGGACACAAAGCAGCAGGAAAATTTCCACAAGAGCCATTGAAAAAATTATGAAGATAGCTTAGAAACATAAAATGTATATACTAAGATACTGGGCTTAAAAAAGGACACTGAAGAAAGTTGAGTATGCCTTTGACCTGCTCAAAACATACTTTGTTTGTTCTTCTGCAATTGTAATACATATCATCATCTACTTGGGCTCCCTGACCCCAAACTCCTAACACTAAAAACTTAAAAAAAAAAAAAAAAAAAAAGGGTTTTGCATATATTATCCAAAGGTATTAAAGACCAGGCTGAAGGATTCAAAATCAGATGAGTAAATTCATTCTAAATCAAATTCATACAAATTAGAGCTCTTGTAGTATGATGCTGTCAAATGCAGTCACTTCTAAAAAGAGAAACAACTAGGAAAATAGATACCAAGAAAAAAAAACATCAAAAAATCCTTTTAGGGGCACCTGGGTGGCTCAGTCGGTTGGGCGTCCAACTCTGGATTTCAGCTCAGGTCATGATCTCAGGGATCATCTGATAGAGCCCCGTGTCTGCTCCCCACTCTGCAGGGAGTCTGCTGGTCTCCCTCTCCCCCTACCCCTCTCCTACCTCACGCGAGCACGTGCGCACACTCTCTCTCAAATAAATAAACCTTTTAAAAAAAAAAAATCCTTTTTTTTTTTAACCAAAAAACAAGAAGTAACAGCTTGCGAAAGAAACAACGTATTATCAAATAGAGTCTGAAATTCCATTATGGAAATTCCCTTGCCAAATGACCAAATATTAACATGTACAACACTGAATGTATATGTGAACTTAAAAAAAAGTAACAAAAAACTAAAAATCCACATTTAAACATTTATATAAAATTCTTAAAACATCTGCTTAAGAAATAAAGACCTGTGAAACAGTTCAGTAACATTCCACATAAATGTGGTTGGTACTATAAACCTCATTCTAAAACAATTTATAAAATTTTAATACTGAAGAAACCACCTAATCATAAGCTATTTTCAGTAACTGGATTTTCAAAATTTTGCTACAATCGTATCATCAGTCTAAGTATGCCCCTTTCACTCCCTTTTATCTTAAACTAGCAAAGTCTAAAATTATATAAATTTTATATAAATTAATCATTATATAAATAATTCTGGAAAATTACAGTGAATGCAAGAATAGCTTACACGCATAAAATTTAATATATAAATGCTAGAAATATAAAAACAGTGACTATCCCTTAGGCTCTAGATTGACAGTGGCTTAATTAAGTTTTTAAAAACATTCCTTCCATTCCTTTAAAGTAATTACAGCTAATCAACTCCATTACTTCTTGTCTTTCATAACTGAGAAGGTATTATTAAAAAACAACGGAGGGACAAGTGCTTAGGAAAGGAAATCTATTAGCCCAATAATGTTAGGGTTAAAATTTGTTAATTAAAGGAAAAAAGTACTATATCAACTTTTGTAGAAATAGAACCTGTCCTACCTTACGCATTCCTGATATTTCAATACTAAGTTATTGCCATAGCATATTCATCCTCAGAACTTTGTCAAGGGCGGAAATAAGATAAAGGATGAATTCTGGGATGTGAATCCTTCCCACTGTCCTTCAATGGGGCAATTTACCTCTCAGGCTTACTCTGCACTGTTAGGAACGATTTCCCTGATTCCCTATGTTAAATGACTCTTTTTTTTTTTTTTCATATTTCTAGAGTACAGAATACCTTGTGTAAATCTTATTACATCACAGATCTTATTCTAAAATAGGATATTTTTTTCTTTTGACTTATTACCCATTAAGTAGACTGCTTAATTCCCTTAAGCACCTAGTTTCTATACCAGAGTATAGAAAGTATAGTTTCTAGACTACACTTTCACTTCATCTACACTTTGCTCGAAGTAAGCAAACATTTGCTAAATTAAAAATTACATATTCTGATCTTGATAATACTACTATGATAATGCCCTTGATTTTAGGATCCAGATCTTGGGGATATCTGGGTGGCCCAGTTGAGTTGGTTAAGCATCCGACTCTTGGTTTCGGCTCAGGTCCTGATCTCAGGATTGTGATATGGAGCCTGGCAGAGCCTGGCATCAGGCTCTGTGCTCAGTGGGGAGTCTGCTTAAGTTTCTCTCTCCCTCTGCCCCTCCCTGCTTGCTCACATACACTCTTTTTCTCTCACATAAATAAATAAACTTTTAAAAGGATATGCATCTTGAAGTATTATAAAGGGTATTATATTGGCAACTTACTCTCAAGTGATTCTGAAAATAATAATATGTATGTGTATATACATAGAAGAAACCCTGGTAAAATGTTATAAATGCTTGACAAATCTGAATGAAAGATATGCAGGAATTCTTTGCACTACTATATTTGCAACTTTTCTGTAAGTATGAAATTATTTTGAAATTAAAAAAATTTTAAAGCCCAAATGATTCATAAAAGTGTAAGACTCTCAGCCTCCTTCCACAGCCATGACAGTCTTGGGAAGGTGGTTCTCTTCTCAGAGCCACTGCTACCTGTCCACATATAAAGCACCACCCA